TTTCAAGACAAAACAATCACAACAAAATGTCTTCTAAACTGCAGTACCACCACAATAATAAAGACTTCTCATACAAACTTTGTTTTTACATTAAGCAATCTTTTTTAATATGTAATCCAAGGCATCAGACTTGATTCTGTTCATTTGGTTTGGCTTTTGAATTTCTTTTTAAAAAAACTTCCAGTTCACTTTCACAACAGCCACACAAGAATTCACACTCATCTGGCTATTTGATAATTATTTGAATAAATATTGCATTATTCATTTGATATTCAAAGTGTCAGCATTGAGAAACAAATTGAGTCTCAGGTTTTTTGGAATATTCTCTGGAGGTAATGGAAATGAAAAAAATGATGAAGCAGATGATTAAATTGAATAAAAATTTATTTTTATATGTTTGAAAAATTTTGTAAAAAAAAAGTATACTAACAGTATTATATTGTATAATTTGCATAGTGAAAAAGTGTTATACAGAATAATTCCTAACCTTAGTTGTTATGGCATGAGCCTCTGGTAAGCGAATTTAACAGCCAATGAATTAAGTTTCTGAAAATGAAAATTGTAGAAAAAAAGAGAAAACAGAAGAAATAAGAAAGCAATAATTATAGTGAAATAAAAAGGATAATAATTGATAAAGTAATAATGGGAGAATAATATGGCATTGAAAGCAGATTTTGGTTGCTTTCAGTTGTTTCAGAGCTAATTTTGTCGTTTAAAAAATTGTTATTGACTTCAAATTTTGTCACGGAAACTGACCGGTTTTTCGTAACTTCAACTCGAAATTATTACTAATATATTCTTATTTTATTATCATATCATCTTTTATTTTCCTTTATTATTCTTCTATGTGTCAGCCGCAAGTTCTTTTCCATTTCACTATTTTCTTTAAGAAATTTTTATTTCGCTTTGTTTCAGAAAGGATCCTGAAACTCTATAAATTCAGTGTTATTGAAATTAAAATAAACAGAGAATTCTTTATTAAAAACTTCAACTTTGCTTCGCTTTAGAACAAAAAGGAAGACTTCGCCGTGTGAGACACAGCTCAAGAATATTCGTCGCTTCACTCGTTCTAAGTTAACTTTGCCCACTGGCAATATTATTAATTCTCTAAAAAAATTTTTAAGCCCGAGTAGCGTAGTGGTAGCGCATCAGCCTTCTAAGCTGAGGGTCGTGGGTTCGATACCCACCTTGGGTGCTTTTGCTGAAGTGAATTTTATTTTTCTGTTTCTGCACAAAGAATTCAAAACTGAGTTTTTTTTTTTGTAATTTATTTAATAATTATTACTTTTTGGCGGCGGCTGCTGTTGCTGCCTGGTTCTCACTCACTTTGACATTCATTACGTCAATCAAAACTGTATTATAATTGAGATTCGTGGATAAAATTATTTTGTGGGGAGGATACTCAACTCTTATACTGACTCTCGCGTTGTGTCAGGGTTTCTTGCAATGATTCCAAGTTTTCACGGAGGTAAGCAACTTTCGTTTTGTAAAATTGTTTTGCATCAGGAATCGACTGAAAGATAACATCATAATAATGTTCTTTAGAAAAGAAAAAAAAATAAGTATGAAATAAAAAACCTTGTCAATCAAATATCCTGTTCCAATGTCAACAATAACCTTGTCTACGTTCACAAGTGCCCCTGGAACATACAGCGACGAAGTCAATGGAATCAAAATCTTTTCTGTTGGCGAATTCATTCAGTATTGCGGGGTGGAAAAATAACAAATTCGAGGACCGTCTGCTCGGCCTTCGATAGAATTGAGCGATTCAATCGAATCATTAAATTTGACTTGCGCCTGTTTTAGTTGCGCATACGACGAAGTGAGATGCTGGATCTCCTGCATGTCGGGGTGATTTATTTTTATTTGTTTGCGAAGTGTTCGGAGAAACAACCAAAACGTTGATCAGAATCGCCAGCCACGTCATGTAACGAGGAACAAACCTCCTCCATCTGATTTTTGACCGCCTGCAATTGCTGCAAAGGTAACTCGGCGAGGTTGATCGGTCCTTGAGCCATTTCTCTTTTTGTTTTTTATTTTTTGCAAAACATTTCATTTCCGAGGCTTCAAAAACCTCAACTCCACTGTATACAAATCTTCTACGCCAAAAACTGATCCGTCACGACCAACTTTCGCACGTAGGAACGAAAAAATTTGAGTAACCGCCGCACGATCTTTGCTTGAGAAAAAAAGAACATTCATTGCAAATCGTTCAACTTCGCTCAATGCTACTAAAGTGTCGAAAAGTAACTGCGGCGACTCGTTTCTCGATTTCAATTAGTTAATAATAATAACGTTATTGAAAATAATATTAATTCCTTACGGGATATAAAATAAAACAAAAATTTGAAGAATTTTCGACACATAATGCGCCTCGAGCGAGTTTTTGAACAAGCTACGGTATTTTTCAGGAAGAATCAACTTTGTTGATTTTCGTTTAGTTTTTATTCTCGTTATTCTAAAAAAATTTAGGAAACGTACCTTAATCAAAGCATATAAATTATTGTCGTCGGATTTTCTCATTTTCCATTCCAATTCAAATTCAAACATAGTATCTGGAGCCGGTGTAAGTTTCAATGCAGCTGTAACAACATCTGATGACTGTGTTTTTGATTTTACGATTTCACTATGAGATGGAACTGCTAGATCTGTCATTCCTGTGGATTCAGGCTCAATTTTTGTCTTTGAAACTTGTTTTTCGGCATCGAGGTCGACAATAAGTGGAATGCGGCGACTCATTGTCTTCTCCTTAGCATTCAAGGGAGAAATCACAGGAGTTGTTGTTTCTGTTGATGCAAATGAATCGCTTTGTACAATTTTTAGCATTGTAGATGTGAAAGACTTGCTTGTCGTTTTTTCTGTTGATGAGGAGTTCACATGGACTGCTTTTTCATTTTTGTCTTTGACTTTAATTGCAGCATTGTTTTCGATTATCACTCTGTTGTCGGCGGCAGGTTCTGGTTTAAAAATGGTATTGGAAATTTCAGGTTTGCTAATTACAGGACTTTTTGCTTTCGGGGTTTCGGCAATAATAATTTCTGTTAAGTTTTTCGATGAAGCACTCTTATCAAAAAATGCAGCCGCATCTCCAACTTCTAGAATATCAATACGTCGTCGTTGCGAAGGTTTTTTCAATTGACTATTTGATTTTTTTTGAGAAACAGGATCTCCTGATGCTAGACCATTTTTCGGAATCTTTGAAGTGACAGCGTTGGCTGTTGACTCTGTTGTGGCTTTTGAGGCTATAATTGCATTAACTTTGACAAGATCGTCCTTTACGAGTAAATTTTTTGGGTCAAGGACAAGTGCAAACTCAAGATCGCGTTTAGCTTCAACGAGTAGATCTTTATCGTTCAGATTAATATTGGAGCTGATTGAACTTTCAAGCAACAGTATGGAAGCATGAGCACGGCGCCAGAGGGCTTTGATATTTTTTGAATCAAAGTGTGCGAGAATGCGAGAAGAGTCTGCAATTGCATCAGGATATTTTTCAAGTTTGATGAGAGTCATTGCCCTGTAATTAATTTTTTTAGTCTTTGACGTTTGATGTCGTGGAAAGTATTCACCTGTTTCCGAGGACAGTAGAAAGGTGAGTAGACACTGCAGAAGACTGAAATGAAGATTGGCTTATATATTCGTCAAGAAGAGATATTGCGCGTGAGTATTCCAGTTCAGCTTTCACATAGACCTTGCGCTGAAAATACGCATTTCCTTTTTCCTTGAGAATAAGAGCCTGTTTCAGCGTTACTTCAAGCTGCTCGGGGGATTTGTCTCGATACGGCAAGAGTACGACTGGATTTTCTGGTCGCGGTACTGCAGCGGTTGTCGTTGGTGCGGTTTTGGTTCCTCTGACAGGAATCGAAGCATCCGGAGTGCCGGACGGAGAAGGAGTGGACGATTTGATATCCTTTTCCCACGCAAGAAGTTCTTGCATCTGGCGACGAGTTTCTTCGGCATTCGCCCGAACAAGAAGCGCTGCATCAATTGAACTGTTTGTCTTTCCACCCATCATTTCAATACAGAAAAAAACCTCTTTAATAGAAAGATCCGTCGTCAACAGTCACGAAAAACTTAAGATACCCAAGAATTGTAAAATAAATCATAACACCACCTGTCAAAGACAGATACATAGCAGCACTGCTGATAAGTCCGCCGTGTGCAAGAACCAGCGGTAAACAGACCCCAGAAACAACGAACACACTTGTGAGAAAGTATCCTGTTTCGAGAACACCCCTGCAATAGTTTTTTAAGCCGTTGATGCGTTCATTATAAGAAAGAAGGCGTATTGCGAGTTCAACGTGAAAATATTGTTCATTGTGTCATGTTAGAAGATACGTTCGGCCATATTTGAAGTTTCAATTTATGAAAACGGTGAATATAATCATATTAGATTCAGGATGATAATACTTTTCACAGTCGGACCTGTTGTCATCGGAGAAGTAGTCCCCATTTCCAGCAACCCGTTTGCAAATCAGATTTGGGATCGGCGCAAGTATGTAGGTAAGAACAACAAACAGTGGCAGCCAGTTACTACAATAAAGGTGATACGTTGGTTGTATTTGATGATGATCCGTTTAATAGATACGATGCAGTAAAGAATGAATGATAAGCAGACACCGAACAATAAAAACACTGCCTGGTTCTCACTTAAATAATGCTGACGATAATATTACGAGCAGAATTCCCACACTCAAGCTAAACGCTAGCGCAATAATAGCGGCCATTGGATTCGAAGGTGTCGACATATTTTTCAATCTGATCTTTTTCTGAAAAACTCCCAAAAAAAAACGATACTGCCCTCAGGCGGGATTGAACTATCGGGCTTTCTCTTACGAGGGGAACGCTCTGCCGCTGAGCTATAGGGGTACAACATTGTCTGTAACGAAATAAATATTTTTCACTAATCAATACTTATCCACATTTTTCAAAATTTCAAATTCCGTTCTGCAAGCATCAACATCAACACAACAACCAAGAACAACCAAGATCTCATTTTACTTCCACATTATTTTTTATCATTACTTTATCAATCTTTCAATTACTATCCCTTTATTTCAACTTTTTACTTTATTTTCTTATTTCTTCATTTTTCTCTGTTTTTCTTTATTTTTTTCTTTCTGGAAACTTCTTCATTTCTATTTCAAATCCAAAACTATAAACTCAGAGCTCCTCAATGAAAATAAAAAAAGAATTTTTTTTAAAACCATTAACTAGAGGCTCATTCCATAACATTTGGTAGCGCCGGCTATAAGAACCTCTCTCTTCTGAATATTCCTACTACTACTACTACTACTACTACTACTACTATTACTACTACTTCTACTACTTCTACTTTACTACTATCCACATTCTTCCATCATGGATCTTACTATGAACACTGAGGAAACTATTGCTTTGGATGAAGCTGTGAGACACCTCATTGCTCAACAACAAGCTCTACAACAAACAATTGCCAATCAAGGAGCAAACCTGGAAGTCTTCCAACGTACTATTACTGAACACCATCAAGTTATTAACCTTCTGACAGAAAAACTCAATGCACTGGATCCCACAGTTGGAAGCTCTCAAAATTTTACTACTGGTCTCAATTCATCACAAAGACACTAATCTGACTTTAAGATGCCTTCTGTCAAGCCCTTGGAATTTTCTGGAAATTTTAAAGGTAAACCTGCTCATGAGCTTCAAAATTCTCTAGATGATTACCTGGACCGCTCTTTGGAAATCTGCCAATTGTACAACTTTGCAAGAACTATTGGGACTGCTACTCACGCTGGACGGCCAACCTATGTTCAATTTGTCTCATCTGGACTCACAGGACTCAATATTCTGCCACCTTTAATGAATTGGTTTCTGAAATCTCTGCTGCTGGTGTCACTTATCCTGAACAACATCTGTGTGTCAAGTATCTTAATGGACTCAAGTCTCATCTTCAAACTATGCCTGATCTCTACCAGATCCATAATGACTTGAGTAAATTACAACAAGAAGCTGAAACAATTGATGACCTTTATTTTCACCACAATCACAAGCCACAGGCCAAAATTCAGCCCACCAAACATCAGAACACAAGTAACATCAAACACAGTGCCTTTCCAACACATTTCCACAACTCAGTGATCCAATGGAAATTGACAATGTCCAACAACAACAACAGCCCTTTTGACGCCTTACACCTGAACAAAAACAATTTTTTTGTTCCAAAGGATGGTGTGTTTACTGTCAATCTAAATAACATGACACAGACCATTGTGACAAACTCAAGGCTCACCAAGCTTCACAAAACAACAATATCAAGTCCTCAACATCCAAACCAAGCTTCAAGCAAGCCTCAATCAACCATGCTGCCCAAACCATTGAAGAACCAACTATTGACAACAGTGCCATCATCAAACATTAACAATCTTGTTAACACAGACTCTTCTATCATGCCAACAATTTTTACTGTACCTGAACTTACTACTGTCTCTATGGACCCACTGATTGAAAACTGCTCTATCAAAACTATCCAACTTTTGCTCTATCATGTTGAAAACAGAACTGATCAATTTGGACGGCTCATTTGCAAAGGCCAAGTAAATGGACATCCTGCCAAGATTTTTATTGACTCTGGAGCCAACCCAAGTTTCATCAAAGCAAGTCATCCTTCAACCAAGGATAACATTGTCACTACTGTTCAATCTCTCATTTTCAAGCTTGCTGACAAGTCAACTGTCACTGGCAAGACCACTAAACTACTTAGGCTATCTGTAACCAGAACAGACTTCCAGGACCATCACTCTTTTACTGCAGTACCATCTTTGGCCTACAACGTCATTTTAGGCAAAGACTGGCTAAATAAACATAATGCAATGATTGATTGACCTACAAATGGCATTCACATCAAGAACTACTCCTGGTACTGTACTTTACCAAAACCACTGTCTGAGATTATGACTGCCAAAAGCTTTGCCAAGCTCTTCAAGAAGAAAGCTAATAAGAATTCAGCTTTTAGCATCCTAATTCCAAAACCAACTACAAGCCACACAATCTCAAGCCAAGCAGCAAATACTTTAAAAACAACTGCTGACAGCAATGATGCTGATGCTGTGGCTAAGAAAGCTCTCCATCCTGAGATCCACAAAATTATTGATAAATATCCTACTGTCTTCCCTCCTTTTGCCTAATTGCTCCACTATCTGAAATTCTCAGAGGACACAAAACTGTACCATTTGAACAAGTCTGGGACTTACAAGCCAAGAAAATCTTCCTTCAAGCCAAGAAACATCTTTCTGACCCTAAACTTCTTGCCATATTTGATCCAAGCAAGTCCATTTTGTCTGGAACAGCAAAGGCATTTGGTCGTGACATTATTGAAAAGAGATGTTTGTTGTTTTTTCATTGCTAACAATATGTGAGAGAATCAAAGAAGTTCCAAATGGGAGAAGTTAACTTGGGACAGCAAAGCAATGTGTTTTTCTTGAGCTATGGCAAAGTCTTCCTTTTGTTTCAAAGCAAAGCAAAGTTGAAGTTTTATATAAAAAATTCTCTGTTTATTTGAATTTCAATAGTTCTGAATTTATGGAGTTTCAGGACACTTTCTGAAATAAAATGAAACAGAATTTTTGGGCAGTGCAAGTAAAAATTTCATAAAGAAACTTGTGAAATGGAAAAGTATTTGTGCCTGACAAATAAAAGAATAATAAATAAAAATAAGAGATAATAGGATGATAAAATAAGAAAATATAATAGTAATAATTTTAAATTGAAGTTAAGGAAAATTAGTCAGCTTGTGTGACAAGAATTTGTAAGAGAATTAAATATTAAAAGTAGGCAAAGTTAACTTGGGAGGACAAAGCAATTTATTATTCTTGAGCTGTGTTTTACATGGCGAAATTTTCCATTTTGTCTTCAAGCAAAGCAAAGGTGAAGTTTTTAAAAAGGATTCTCTGTTTATTTTAATTTATAACTCTGAATTTATGGAGTTTCAGGATCCTTTCTGAAAGTGAAATGGAAAAGGTTTTGCAACTGACAAATAATGGAATAATAAATGAAAATAAACGATAATGGGGACATAAAATAAGAATATAATAGTTACAATTTTGTATTGAAGCTACAGAAAACTAGTCTGTTTCAGGGACAGAATCCAAAATTTTATATATTTACATAATAATTAGTTCATAATTTCTTATGCTTTTACAAAACAGTCTGAGTTCTGTTAGTGTAATGCAAGTTTGTGAACAAATTTTAGGTGAAAATTATGCGGATGAAAGACCATAGTTGATTTATTGCTTACAAGTTGCAATAATAATAATAATTAAAAATAATAAAAAACATTAAACTGCTACCGCAGTTTTGAAAGTTACAGAAACAGGAGTAGCACCCGCGACCAAAGGAATCCAAATAGTCAGCGCGTCAACTCCAATCTGTTCGGTTGTTGCCCCAACAGGCAAAACAACATTTGTAGCTGCCACACCAAGTGGCAGAGTAACTGGAGCAATGCAGCTAGTGGAAGCAGAAACTGTGAATCCGCTGAGTGTGACGCCGGTTGCAGAAACAGTAACAGCCTCAATAACTGTCACATTTGCAGTCTCGTAAATCATGCGGTTGACAACCTTCTGTGTCAAATCGTCTTGCTTGACTGTCAAAATCGGCCAATTCACGAGCTGCGTGAAGTTTCCAAACACGCTTTCAATCCATTGCTGCGCGAGCCCGAGTTTGCCGGTTTTTGAGCCGAATGAGACGATTGGAAGGTCAGCGTTGCGGAGGTTGCCTTGGTGGAACATTACTGGCTGCCATGAGAGTAAAGCAAGCGTGCGCATGTTTCTCTGGACTTCTGCGTTCAAGATGTAGTAAAAGTTGACGGGGGGCGTCAGTTTGTAGATGGCATTGTACAGAACCGCATCGTATTCTTGGTTGGTGCAGTTGAAATAAATATTGAGGACTTGTCGTGGAAGAATAATGAATCCATCAAATCCATTAGCTTCCATTGTGGTGTAAAGTGGCCAGTAAAGTGGACGGTCGGCGTTCATGGTTTGAGGTCTTGAGGAGTCTCCAACTGCACTCTTAATTCCAAAGTCCGACAAAGCTCTGAGAGCATCACCGTTGAAAAGACCTGAAATTCCTGGCGTGATCATGGTCTTGTTGTTCCAGAACTCTTGGCCGTCCCAGTTCAAATACTCTTTCGAAGCCAGCCTAAAGTTGAAAGTCAGTTCATTAATGGTGTCACTGTATGAGTTGTTGTTTAAGATTTCATGCGTGAAGGTGTGCGAAGTCCACAAGAATTTGTTGGCTGTTGTAGAAATATTGGATCCTGCAAAGAACGAATACAATCGATCGGCGCTTAAAGCGGGTCCCCAGGTTGTGTTGAGAGTATTCAATGCCGGCCACAAGGTAAGGCCAGTTCCAAGCGGCTTTTTCCAGTTCAAAGCTGTATCAGTCAAGTCTGGATCAAAGTCAAGTGTGTAATCGACGGTAGTTGAGATAATCTCCATAACGCCATTTCCTAAACAAAAGCCAAAAGTGAATCAGCAGTAAACAATAAAATATACACACACCATTGAATCCAATCTCAAACGTGATATTAGATCCAGAAGGCATCCGTGCATTGACATCCGGCTGCCAATCAATGAGTCCTTGCATATCATCCGGCGACAAGCGAAAATCAACCGCTATGCCATTCTCGTTATTTCCCGAGGTTGTCAAAAACATATCATCAACCTGTGGCGTGAAATACAACCGTCTAAATCCCGTAAACAATCCATACGTGGCCCATTGGAACCAGATATGCGCGACACTATCACACGTGATTGACCACGATGCCATTGGGAAAAAGAACGACATTTGCTGCTGGTTTCGGCCAAAATCAATGACAGCGGCGGCGACACTAC